AATTCTTCAGCAAGTTAAGATTTAAGATGGCAAATACCTAACTCAGTTTTACGAAATAGTATGTTGGTTTCAAAAATAACCAGGCTTTAAACTAGACCAGATTGAGGAAAACTTTGTTTGAAAGCTTAGAGTGGGGGAAGGAGAATACTTCGAGTGCTAAACAAAGTAACCAGCAGTAATTACGGTTGTCAACTTATTTTGAAAGCCTATGTAATGGATTGTAGTATTTCATATCAGATTAGCCAACCTGAACGCAATGTCCACTCTATTATTTTGTAATCTCTAACGTCACTCGCATCAAGTGGTAGTCATAATTAGAACACAATCATTTTATTTTAATTAAATAAATTTAATTTCAATTTTTCCTATAGGCTAATTTCATTACCATGCAGCGTATATAGTGTTGTGCTATAGCCCATACGCCTTTCCAGGCATATTATAGCTTCTGTTAAGATGCTCCATTATCGCGTATATGTATATCGCTAAAATTCTAAATTGCTTGTTTTTCTGTACACAGAAATAGCTTATAAGCAAAAACAAAAAAATGACTTGAAAAAAACTTAAAACGATTAAATGTGTTCTCCTATTCAATGTTGATAGGCAGCTAAAGGTCTGGCAAATGTTTGGTGATTCTATCGTTCAGGCACATTATACTGTGTATCTAACATTTTGTTTCATTTCATTAGATCATTCCATTGCAAGAACAGATTGAGAGCAAACATGAAATATGCAAACGAGACAAGTGTGTGAGTTTCCATGAGCAGTAAGCTGGCAGACATACATGCATATCTCACATAAGTTCATGTAACTCACTTTTATCATATGTTGTTTATATATTGTATTATAAATTTATAATTATTGTCAACAAATATAACAGAAGCTAGAGTGAAGCTAGAATGGAAGCTAGATCATTGATAGCCTGCGGAGATGACTGTGTTTTAGTCTCCCTCACAGCCCCTGATGGAAACCACAGTACATTTATATATGTCCAGTAAATTATTATATTATGGTTTTAACTCGCAATCACTTTCTGATCCACTCGTATCAAACTGTATTGTAAAATATAACCTTTGGCCTTAACTGTCTGTATCTAAACTTGTTCAGGTTTCCAGTAGTTTGATCGATGTAAAACTTATGTTGTAAAATAGTGGAAATAATATATTCATAGTAGTTGCAGCAGTGCCAGTGATTTTACAATCTTCAATGAAACGGCCTTCATAAGCGATCATTGATGCAGATTGTGTATTTAACAATGTTCCAAGCAGGCCAAGGACTCATGCGTGAGCTGAATATTGGACTTTTTTTATGTATCTATTGTGTTTTAACGATATAGTGATTTTCTCTGACAACAATGCTGATAGCTACGGAAAGTTCTCACAACTGCTAATTGATCTCGATGCGACAATATGAATTTCCGTTGGTGAAAAGGAATTAATATCGGAAGTTAAATGTGGTTTCCGAACAAGAATAATCGCCTAATATGTATATAGTTTTTGTGTGTATATATTGGCCTCGTGAAGCAACGAGAGTTATTACGGAGTTGAAATATCTTCGAGAAAGCTCTGTATGAATACGTTTCACTTTCGAGCTTCCCACGCTCGTTTAAAATCTCCCATGGAAGTCCTCATATAGTCCTCATATTTCCTTCCAGCTCTGATAATACTTGAAATCTGTTTAAATAACAGATTGTCATTATTGCTACACTTGAAATAAGTTCGTGCCATAATTCATGACTCAATTAGTCGTGTCATGGGTCCTTGAATTTACTGGGAAAGAGGCGTGCAGTTCTTGAAGTTGATTTTGATTGAAAGGCGGGAAGCGGCCTGAGTGATTGATTGATTAAACACGGTTGTTATACATGCATTGATAAGTGTGAGCCGTGCATAATGAAGATAATAAACTCAAGATAGTAAAGTTACAATATTTACAATTTTTATGAAATTTATATATGGTAGTCGATGCAGATTATGACAAACATTTAGTTTATTTTTTTCACGTAATCTGGTAATGAGTTCCAAAATTTAGTACTGGTAAAAGCAAAAGTCTTTCTGTAATAATCCGTTTTGTTACACTGGCAGTTGCAAATTAATTTAGTGGGGATTGTCTCGTTTTTACGCGTGTAGTAAAGAGAATTATAGGATGAGATTACACAATTATTCTGTATTGAAAGAATATAATTATTAGCAGCACAACCTTATTCAAGCATCTCGATATCAACATGTTTTGAGAAGGTTGCACCCTCAGAACAAGTTGTTAACAATATCGGGACAGTATTGCTCAGTTGCAACCTGTGTAATAACATTGTTGAAAACTTGTCGATCCGGGAACAGGTTTGTTCATGTACCGTAATCACAGCCCTAATTTCAGACCGCACCCTAACCCCCCTAACCTATCACATGTTTATAAACATCATTAACTTAAATATCTTTTTTCCACCTTCCTGATAGAAAAATGATAATTTCATTTACATAACGTCGGTATCAAGATGGATCCGAGCTTTGAGTTTCGCGTCTCGCCGCTCACCACATTAGTACTGGAGGCGTTGAGTGCCGTTTCAAAGGGTTACGACCTAAAACTTGTTTTGAAAACAAACATGCAATGTTTCAATATTCAATTATAGAGTTATCCTCAGAGATATGAAAAAACAAACCATATTTAAATATGTGGTAAACTTTGGACGCATAACCATCAGATAAGTTTGTTATCACTAACATATTATAATTTTTAGTTCTTAGATACTAGAAGAAACACGTTAGTGATGGACGATAGCTCAAACATTTGATATCACTAAGCAATTTTTATACTCAATAGCTCTCACTATATCTGTTCTCACTAGAATGGTAAAATGCCTGCAGAAAACCTGCAGTATGCATGTATATGCATGGCAGAAACATTTTTCTCGGAGAATTGTTGAGACAACTGCTCACCACTCCTGTACTGAAACACACCTAGAGGCAGAGCAGGGGAGATAGAAAGAGATATTAAATAGACGTGAAAACAAACTAAACGCAACACTGGTTAACCAAAGCACATCCATGGAATTTTGGTCAATTTATAGGCAAGATTCCATTTGTATCAATAAATATTGTAGTGTTGTGGTCAGCACGCTTGCCTTTCAAGTTCAATCCTTGGTCGGACCTCCACGCAAGATCTTCCAATAATTGAGGAGAAAGTGCTACCTTTACAGTGACATGAGTAAATGGTTAGACATTCGCATCTTCTCGGATAAGGACGTTAAGTCGTAGATACCTCGGATCCCTAGCAATTGGGAAATCCGCTCAGCAATGAGCGAGAAACTCAATAAACTCTTCAAGTACTCGTCTTGTATTTCAATATGCGTCGTATATTATTACAATTATTCACGCAGACCATAAGTGCGCAAAAAAATCATCCCGCGACTCACCAGAACGCCCCAGGACGAGGTTAGGTTGCATGGCAGAATTACATAATCAGAGAAATGATGAGGGTAATAGGGAATCATGATGGATAATTGTGTAATGAGGAAATAACTTTGGTACCACAATCAATATTGCGTCAGTTTCGCCATTTCCAACTTACCTGCATGAGTGAGATCTGCTTCACATAACATTCAATTTGTGTTCATATGAGAAACGAGCTCGGCTCGCCTTGCGCTACCTGGGATGTCAGTCAAGTAGAATAAAATTTGACCTATAAAGTACTTTGAACGGTATAATTGGAAAATACGGAACAAACATTAAACAAGGTGCAATATTTCGAAGACGTTAATACATAATGTCGTCCCACTAAAGCACTCATCCCATTTCTGTGCTCAGCAAACCCGCGGGCTCATGTAAACAGGACTTTGAGAATTATGAGTAGGTGACTGTTGATAAAGTAGGCGATCTTGGATCTCATTCGTCAACAAGATAACTAGAAGATTTAAGATGCAAATAACTAAATTACTTTCTCACGAGGGCCAAATTCCGCATTTTTGGGGTACTTTTTTGAAAACAACGTGAAAAATCTAAGCGATGTGAAAACATTTTTTTCAAATATTTAAAACTGTAAATTAACTTATAATGATTATAGTTTATACTCACAATTATACTGAGTTATACAAATCTTTTATTCACCGCGTACAATCTCAGATTTGGAAAAGGCCGGAAAAATTGCGGCGTGAGAAAGTGTAATGGCTATAAAGTAGACCATGCAGATTGAGCCTGAAGAAACGTAGAGTCGGAGACTCGGAGGAAGGAGAGCAAAATTAATATTTCAAGTACTAAACAAAGTAACCGGCGGTGAAGCACCCTAGCACCTACCGCAACTCTGGCGGCGACCGGCTTATTTTGAAAGCCCTGATGTAAATGTGAATTTCTACTTTTGTGCCATTTGAAGGTGCGCGAAACTAAAACTGCGCTAAAATAACGCATTTATCGCGCGAGAATTTAAGACTGAGCGAAAATTCGTATGTAGCGTTTTGTAGCGTATCACTTTGACTCCACTGTTTTGACTCGGTCAGGGTTGCGGCAGCTATGATAATTAAATCAATGGAGACATTGGAGGTCAAAAACATTTGTTTTCTGCCACAACGAAATGATAAATGATTTGAAAATAACAAACACCAGTCTTAACACGTCTTTGGCTGTTCTATTGCAACCGTTCATTACATATCTTATCACTGTTTTTACAATTTACATTTTTAAAACACTTTCGAATAAAATTTTTATGGACTCCCAAAGAGTTGTCATTATATCATACACAAATGTGAATTACAATCAAAATATACAAGAATGAAATCATCGGAAAACATGAAAGTAAGAAAGTAAATTTATTTCGTAATGACATCTGGTCCAATAGTGCAGATGTCTACAAATATATTGATGAAAATTAAGAATTTTCCCCAAAATCATTTAGCTAAACGAACTGTAATTCCGAAGTAATTTACCCTTCCCACGCATTGATGAGAGCCAATAGAATTATCAGATTGGGAGTGTCAGCCAATGAAATGATGGGAAAAGATCACGGGGTCCTCTGGGCTAAAACAGCTTGCTGCAAGCGCGGACATATTGAATAAAGCCTGTGTCAGAGATTGCATTTCCACACAAAAAGTGGACAAATTTGTCTTTGCATATAACAAATATTCGCATGTAGGACAAAGGCTACCAGAGGAGTCCGTTCAGCAATACTACATCAGCTTCAAAGGATTTTTTTGCAACATATGAAGTTGGTTCATTCGGACTATTCATTTATGTAAACATATATTCAATCTTCGCAGCGAAAAGTCTGCTTGGCTCAACGCAATATATAGCAAGTGGAAATCCAATGAAGTGTTAAAAGTAGATCTAATATTTCAAATCAAGTCACGAAGTAAGTATTGCAGGTTAGTCCGAATGTCATAGTTCCAGATATGATTGTTGTTTTCATATTAATCTCTTCAAATATAATATAACGTCGAAGGCGTTGTCGGTTGCCATCATTTGCATAATAAATTGATCTAGAATTGTATGTTCTTTGATGTTGGCAGATTCAAGTTTATCTCAAAAGAAATGCCTGTAAAATCATTTATCTTTAAATAGTATACTCAATACTTTAATTTCTGATGTTTTATTTGGCAGTGGTGAAGGCATAGAGCCAGTATTAAGTCGTGCAACATATATTTTATAATAGTTTGACATCATGGCTACTGGATCGCGTTCGGGCAGTGTTAGCATTGATGAATCTGATGGCCATGTCGTAGATTTTTCTGATATCCCTAAAGAAGATTTGATAGAAGTAATGAAAGGAGGCGAAGATGGCCTACAGTTGCTTCAAGAAAAGTTCGTTAGTATCAATGAAGTTGTTCGTCGTCTGCATAGCTCTGTTGCCCGTGGCATAGAAGGCAACAGTATTAAAGAACGTATGGAGGCATTTGGCTCAAATTACATCCCTCCACAGCCACCAAAAACCTTTTTAGAATTCTTATTCGATGCATTTAAAGATACACTACTTATTATTCTGATGGTAGCTGGTTTGGTTTCGCTTATACTTGGAGTGACTGTCGAAGAAGACAAAAGTACGGCATGGATTGAAGGTTTCGCCATATTTGTCGCTGTCATTATTGTTGCTCTCGTTACTGCTGTAAATGACTATACGAAAGAACAACAATTTCGTGGTTTACAAAATAAAATTGAGGGTGAACACACGTTTACTGTCATCAGAAAGGGTGAGTCATCGTCTATATTTAATGGTGATATTGTTGTTGGTGATATTTGTCAACTGAAATATGGGGATATGATACCTGCAGATGGGCTTCTCGTTCAAAATAATGATCTCAAAATTGATGAAAGTTCACTGACTGGGGAGTCGGATCTTGTGAAGAAAGGCGATGCAAATCCATTTATATTATCTGGTACAAGGGTGATGGAAGGCAGTGGTAAAATGGTAGTCACAGCAGTTGGTATCAACTCTAGATCTGGTCAGATATTGAAACTGTTGGTTTCTGGTGCAGGTGAAGTGAATGCTGCTGGTGCTCAACCACCAGCAACAAAACCAACAAATGGTGATGCTGAAGATGGTGAATTGTTAGAGACGGATCAAACAGATAACGAAAATGAAGACAAAGAAGAAAAATCAATCCTTCAAGCAAAGTTAACAAAGCTTGCTGTCCTGATTGGTTGGTTTGGCCTCGGAGCCGGTATATTAACTGTTATTGTTATCTGGATACGATATTCCATTGAAACATATCATGTTGAAGGTGAATCGTTCCAAAAGAAACATGTGTCTGAATATCTACGAGCATTTATTACTGGTGTCACAGTTCTAGTTGTTGCTGTTCCTGAAGGTCTACCATTAGCGGTGACAATATCCCTTGCTTTCTCTGTCAAGAAAATGTTATTGGACAATAATCTTGTCCGACATTTAGACGCATGTGAAACAATGGGTAATGCAACAGCCATTTGTTCTGACAAGACCGGCACACTCACCACAAATCGTATGACTGTTGTGCAAAGTTACTTGGCAAGAAAATTGGATTGCGTCTTAGAAGCTGACTTCAACTATGAGCAAATTCCTGAAACGTTGCGGCGAACTTTGGTGGAAGGCATTTCATACAACAGTAGTTATGCATCAAGAATTGAGGTAACATTCTCTCTTTACTTTGATAAAATCACAAACGTGAGTGCTAGTGTAAGTACAGATGATTACATATTACACAGTTTATTCACTGAACATCACAAGCTTAGTATCTGTTGGGATACTAAACTCCTCCACTAATTCCTCCACAGACATAGTACTTTATGACTTTATGTTGTTTATCAATCTGTTATAAACATATCAGATTAATTAGTTTAAATTCATTACAATTGAAAACTTGTTTTTTCCTTGTTTTGAATATCCAAAATGTTGGATACGAGATTGGTGGATATCAAATAGTACCCTGTGTCATCTTGTTCCATGGTCGGCCACTTCTACAGGTCATCCCTGTGGTGAATAATTTGTGGAGGAAATTGAATGCATGTGCACAACTATCAGCCAGTAATAGATTGCATATTTGTGCCTTAATTTATTATAATCTGTCTAACACCAGACAATTTTACTCATTAATGAAGAGTGCTGGTGCTCAATGGGTTAATTTATACTGCAGTATAACAACTTATTAATTTTAACAAGTTTTTTCTTTCAGTTTTGACCAAAATATTCACTGTCCAATAAAAATCATATAAATTATTCAAATCTTTGTAGAATTGGTAATTATGTATGCATCCAATTAAAGCAATTTCATTTGATATTTGCTAGCCATGCATGAGGCTTTGCAGATTTTCAACTTTTCCTGTACCAAATCTAATGTTAATTAAACTTAGTATTTATGTCAATGGATTGAACAGATGCTCACCTTTGATCTAATCTTGAATTGTCTGTAGGGAGCAACAAGATTTTATTAGTAGGGATGCAGCTACCTGGAAAAAAATAAGGAGAAATTTGACGTTTTGAGTGAAGTCCCTCTGCGGGAGTTAGTAGCGTGAGTCAGGAAAATTACTGTACATGAGCTTTTATACTAAGAATATAAAAGCAATCATGTGACAAAAAATAAACCAATCAGATGGATTTAGTCAAAACATAAACAAAGAATATATTTGGGAAATTTCTCTAGTTGAAGCAAGGAAAGAGCTTGATAACTTTGTGCTTTTCGAAGACATATCGTCTATATTTCTCTTTCAACACGCTTTAAATAATTGATTAAAATCATGTTATATAGAAATAAAAATTTTTTTAAAAATTACAACTTTGTAATAAATTTTTTATTTTTTTTATTTTATGATTTTAATCAATTAATTATTTACAGTCAATTTCAGCTGACTTTTCATCGTAAGATTCCGAACTTCACAAATTTGTTGCCAAGTTCAAAAGTTCATAATGAAATTCACAAACAGGTTTGTAAACTGGGCATTTCATTGGCTGGTTTGATTTAATAGCCAATCAGAGGCTTTGTTTACAAACCTGTTTGTGAATTTCATTATGAACTTTTGAACTTCGCAACGAATTTGCGAAGTTCGGAACGAAGTTCGGAATCTTACGATGAAAAGTCAGCTGAAATTGACTGTAAAGTGTGTCGAAAGAGAAATATAGACGATATGTCTTCGAAAAGCACAAAGATAAACAAAGTATAAATTACATTGTGTGAATTTTGATGTTTATTCACAAACAAAAACTGTGAATTGCTAATGGGATACCATTGCTTATATGTCCATGTCTCATTGAGTGCCACTCTCCAGGGCTTGATGAATAAAATCGTCTGGCATTAGACAGAAAAAAATTATAAAGTAAGGTGAATAAGGGCACAATGCCATTTAAAGGGTTAATTCAGGGTATGATAATTCAATATTTTTAGCCGTACTTGACTGGTACTCCGACAACTTTTGCCGCATACCTGGTGTGGTACAAACTTAAGAGTCAAGACGTACCTAAGACTACTTCTGAGTCATGGGTTTTTATACCTACGTATAGGTTACTGGTCCAAAAGCAAAAAATGTATGGGCAATTTTGTACAAATGAATCTTTAATTATGATATTTGTATGTACAACATAATATAACAGTTTTCAAAGCGTGGACGTTGTGACTCGAATGCCATCGCTCATTTACAGTGGATTTACCGAGGGTGCTAACAGTCTGACCTCAGCTACATACAGTGTAGTTTTCCTCATTGGACCTAAAAAAATACCTGTGGTTCCGGTTTCATATCGCGAAAAAATTAGGGTAGGTAGGTCGGAAATAAAAAATTTTTTTGAATATTTTTTTCATGGTTTTGGCGGTTTTTTTCTGGGCGATTTTCAGTAGAGTCCCGACATCAATGTTAACTAGAGATGCGTATTTCCTAGGACGAATTTAGGCAATTTGGTTCAATAATTATTGTGACACCATTTTGGCATGCTGTACAAGTAGGAATGTTCGGTATGAGAAATTTCCGGTATCGGTATACCGAAAAAATTATACCGATATTATCGGTATACCGGTTTTTCTTTGATATAAATGGACCATTTGCATTATAGATCACAGCTTGAAAGAGCATCACAAAATTAGTAATATTCCAAAGTTTCGCTGCAAAATGTTGCAAAATGCGGATAATCAAGCCTTGCGAAGTTTGCCGTTTTTCAGTCATTTTGTATTACGCACAGGAAATTGACAGCCCAATCGGGTGTTGGGGCATCAATTTCCCGTTTGTAATACAAAATTACTGAAAATTGCAAATTTCGCAAGCCTATATTATCCGCAGTTTATAACATTTCGTAACGAAACTTTGCACTATTATTTATTTTGTGATGCTCTTTCAAGCTGTGATGAAATTTTTGTCTAGATCAAAATTTAGTCTATAATGGAAATTTGAAGGAAATTTTGAGTAATTTTAGATGGAAAACGATAATTTCGAAGCTGTTTCGAACATGTTTCGACGACACGTACTCAGTGTAAAATCTGACTGAAGTGGAAATTCTAAATCATTGCAGTAGAAAGTTCTTCGAATTGCCGTTCAGTAGTAAAATAAAGGTTATGGTTTTGCCATATAGTTGGTAAATTTAACACAGTATACCGAAAAATTTCGGTATATCGGTATAGTTGAATATCCGGCGGTATCGATATATCGATATTGATTTAATACTGATATTTTCGGTATATCGGTATCCCGAACAGTGCTATGTACGAGCAGCCCGCAACCACCCGGAGAAAATAGGGTCACACGGTCAATCGTGTTGAAAAAAATAATAGGGTGGGCAGAAAAAGATAGGGTCAGTCGGGAAACCAGAACCACGGGTATTTTATTTTTAGACCTTGGTATAGCATTGACAATTAAGCCCAGGTCACACCACACAACGATAACGATACGATAACTTGTAAACACGCGATAATTGGTAAAAAAAATTATGTTTGTGTCCAAACTACAACGAAAACGATAAAATTATCGGCGTTTGACGATAACGATTTTAAAATCGCTCACCCGAGGGAATTCCTTTTGGCTTTTTTCATCGCAAAATATATCGGATGCGTGGAATTTACATGTTATACAGCTAAACTTCTTCACGGTTTTGAATACTTTGGCAGGTTTACTAGTTTAAATATTGCTAGAAGGAAAATATAAGTATGCGAATAGCAAATTTCCGCGTACCTACGTGGTACTTGCCTAAAAACAAAGAAGTACCAGACCATAAATTTGGCGTACCTCCGGTACGTTGGTACGCGAATTATCGCACCCTGTAAGTTTAATTGGGGTAATTGTTAATTCACACATCATTTTTGCCCAAGATATCCACAATAAAATGGCTGCCATTTTGTCAGTGTGTCCTGTTTTTGCAAAATTGAAATTTCTTTAATAACTTTTCACTAAGAAAATTAGCAAGTTGAATAAAAGTTTCCTCTCTAATTCGAACCCTGATGTTCAGGGGCGGAGCGAAGACTATCCTTTTCGGGGGGTGCAAGACAACTTTTTGCCGACAAAAGGGCGTGGCTAGCACGTTGTTAGGGCGTGGTCAAAACGAACCGTATTCATTTTTAAGTGATGTATAACGATGAAATCCGAGTAGTAAGATAATTTATTTTTTAAATAGGCGAAATAGTTCCTTAAAATACCTGGTATAAATGTCAAAAAAGCACATCCAATCGTCATCAAACGACCGATTACAAACTAAACACGTCAGTTTCTCTCTCTTCCGTTTGCGTTTTTGCTTGCTACTGTCCATTCTTTTAAATCATCTTCGTATTTCTCATTGTATATAAGACCGTTAGGTGTAATTTCTAAGACCTTTACTGGTTTTACAAAAATATAAAATGAAGCGCAGACGCATCAACAGTCAACACGCACATGTGCTTCGAGTTTCCTATGGTATCATATTTCACAAAATTGCAAGAAAGTTTAATACTATTAAATAGCGTATTAGAGTAATAAGTTCTTGGCCAATTTGGCTGAATGTTTGGAAAAGGACCGAGCTTTCAGTCGACATATCCATCTTTTCGATCTCGCATTTTCTACAAATTTTCTACAAACAATCTCATTCCAATCAGGTATTGCCTATTGGCTTGATCCAATTCATTTTGCCGACAACTGATTTATTGTGCCGACGGACACGGCATTGGGGGGGTGCGGCACCCCCCGCACCCCCCTGTTACTCTATGTAGCACACACTGTTCAGTACTGTATATTCATAAACTGTTGTACAGGCCTTGGCTGAAAGGTATTCAGTCAATCAAATGTGTGCTTCAAGGCCTTGGCTGAAAGGAACTCAATCAATCAAATGTGTGCTTCAAATGTCTTTTGTCAAGCACCTGTTTTCACGATGAAGAAACAATTTTTTAGGAGACGTTAAGTTTATTTTATGGATGTACTGGTTTTTGCATGGACAACAAGTGTTACTGTTATAAAATGGAGGCATTTCTCAATTCTTAAGTATTTAGCAGGTTTATGAAAAAAAATACCTTTAGGAGGAGCCCTGCCTATTTGTTAAGAACACCTATTCGTCAGGGCGAGGTTTGTATGCAAGCACAAAGTCAATGTGTAGTTGTAACAAAGTGTTGAAACTTTGTCACTGTTGATTTAAAAACAATTACAGTATGAATATTGAGAGTTTCCAAAGGTGAGATGCTAGCTTTTAGATTTGGATAGAATATGCAGAAGCCTCGTATACCTGCAGAATTATTTGCGACGTAATTGTTGAAAGGGTGTATTAAGGGCGGCAATCTGCAATGTTCAACAACAGCAAATAAAACAAAAATCTTCCCCGTATGTATTTATGAACCCACA